AAGAGAGATATGTAGAAGGCGATTCATAAGAGAGATCAATAGATATACGCAATGAAATGAATCGATGAAGAAGAAAAGAAAGAGAAACGAATCAGGAGACAATGGAAAAATACTATTACCTTCTTCACAATGTAGCCTCACATTGTCCGAATATGTCTATCTATGCTGGTGGCGTAACCACAGTACGGCAGCGCCGTACCACCGGGAATTTTGCCGTGTCACCAGGAAAAAGTATAAAATCGGGTAAAAAGAAAACTTACACCACCCTAAACAGATGTTTGAAAAAAACTACGGCGCCGCCGTACTAGCGTCGTTTTTCTCGTTACGCCACTAATCTATGTTCGTTTATTTTTGAATGAATATCATTTAGAATAAATATAATTCAAAGAGAAAAAGGATAATATGAATGACGAAACGAGGAAAACATAAATGTATATTAGTTACTACTCTAACAAGTGAACCACCACAACTATCCAATCACTTTTTCACTCAAACATAGTGTTTTCTAAAGTAGTCGTTAACGCTAATTCCGAATTTGTTATCACTTCTGCCATTAGCTTTTTCGAACTGTTCTCGGAAATCTAGTATGCAAACACCTGCTTTGAAATATCACATAAACACATTCTGACAGTGTCGTATTGTAATGTCGAGTTACCTATATCAGAAAGTTTTTAGAACTACCGAACATCTTTTCGCCGAGGTTATAAAACTTTCATTTCGAGGTGAGAGAAAAAGTAAAATTTTTCTATTTGTATTGCAGTACATTTTCGAAAAAATTATTCATAAAAATCGATTTCATTTTTTCCTGGTAAACAATATTCTGTGACTCAGTTCGGTTTTAGGCCTGGTTTCTCTACAGTTGACGCTCTACTGTATGCTACTCACTTTATCTACAAAGGTGATTCTTCGAAGTCATTCTCGGCATGCACCAGTTTCGGTTAACCGATAACCGACAGGGTTGCATCGAGTCCGAGACCTACTGGAGATACCCGGATTTGACTGCTCGATACTCGATATATTCAATTGAAAATCTTGATAAAATTATGGAAATGCTTAATGAATGCAGAATCGGAAAACGTAAGATAACCCACAGGATCTTGTTCTCATATTTATTGTTTCATAATGCGTTAGGCATATCGTAATGCCTTGTAATGTGTTAGCTTTTCTATCGTGTAATAACGCGATAAATTTAGAAAAAACATGTCTTTAATGCATTGTAACGTATTAGTGTAATGCGTTACGTGGACTGCCCAAAAATTGAAATTATAGTGTTATAATGCATTTTCATCAACGACTTTCTCATATTTTATAATGCTACAACGCTATAAATTCCACTAGCGCGTTAGTAGTCTGCATGTCGTTACGGGGCGTTTCCTAATTTCTGTCGCGTTATAACGCATTAACCTGCAACGCGTTACAGGTTAATGTAGTATACCGCTATGATATCTAACACATTATAACGTTATAAATTTATAGCATTACAATGTAGTAACTGTTCAGGCGCTATAATGCTATACATGACAGTGATAATAAGTGTACAGTTGGAGTTTATGTACGAAGTCTCAAGTCAGTAACATATATATCTGATATAGTTGAAGTAATTTTTCCCGGACCAAATTTTTGAGAGGAATCGATTGGCAGTCTCAGAATTTTATGGAAATGTGTCCTTTACGAGAAAACCATGTGTTTTCGTTTTGGATATTGTCTAACTCGTTGTAACGCATTAATTTCTATCGTGTTACACCGAGTTCCATTTTCTTATCTCACTGCAATGTGATAGAAAATAATAATGTCTTGTAATCTATTAAATGTTAAGTCGTTACAATACGATATGCATTACCTAATGAGTTATAACGCTATGAAAGATTTTTCTAAATTTATTTTTTTTTTCTAATTTAGATAAAACATCTAAGGTATTATTACGCATTATATTGAAGTAGAAAACTCACACGCGTAATAATACATCAGAATCTAACGTATTATAAGACGGTAAACGATTTATGTGCCCATAAAAGACTTGTCCAAAATTGTAGTTTTACCGAGGATTGTTCTCCAATAGAACCAACACAGTGATATGTCATCGAACATACAGATAAAGCTCAAGTTACATATGGAACGTTGCCACCGGATAACTCTAAAGCAAATAGACTGAAACTGTTATGTGTTTATATAATGTTCTTTACTCTTCTTTTCTGACAGTTTATAAGATGTTCAAGGTGGCACCTTGTGGATATTGATACATTATATAAAATTGTCAGATTCGACCGCCGTGACAAGCCAGATCTGATAATAAGTTGTGGTGATAGTGCGAAGTATTTCACAATGAATAAAGATTCAGAGAAAGATTTTATGAGAGGGTTTGTTGAAGTAGCAACGATACCAGGTAACCATTTTCTTTCATTTTTTTCTGTGAAACGCTTTTTTCCTTTCAAAAATCCCTAGTACATCAATTTTAACAACGGGTTGAATAGTGGAGTTTCGAAGCTTATTGGTAGAGAAATATCGAGATCTACTTCATTGACGAATTATAAAAAATAAATGACGATAATTGGTCTAACGAAATGGAGAACAATTACCGAAAAAACTCGAACAACGTTCAAAGCACAGGTAACTAAAAATTTAGTCTTAGTAAACAGTTAAGAGCGTGTAAAGGTGAAGCATCGGCGATAAATAAACGCCTCGATTTATTATCAGCTTTCCCTATCATTTTTAGACTTGTCTCAAATAAACAGAATCTTCCATATCGAGATCTCTTCTGCACAAGATCTTGGTTAACATGACGAGTACCGAGATCTTAGGTTAATATTTTTACGAGATCTTTTGGTCTTGGTTAGGCATATAACAATCCGATAGTTCGGTGACCGAACGTGTTCGGTCTGGCAAATTGATGTGACCAAACGTGTTGAGACGAAGATTGCAAATACGATAGTTTATATTTTTCTCATCGGAGGTATCGGCGAGCGCTCTGTCGAGGAACTATTCGGATAAAATACCATAAACCTTATAAAGATACATTCGAACTAGGGCTACAACTTTCTGTCTACTTTATTTGCACAGTGAGGAAAAGCATTTTTGCATGAAAACAAAATAAATCAATCTGCTGCAGAGGCCATGTTAATAAAACTATGCTTTAGTTAGAGAATAAATAAGATATAATGGAATATGGAGACTTCCGCTTCGCCGCAAAGTTGAAAAGTTGCAACATGTATATGTTCCCGAAGGAGCGGAGGATTGAAGGATTGAAAAGTTGCAAAGTTGCAAAGTTTCATCATACATATATTTCTTGGAGGATTGGAGGACTGAAAAGTTGCATCGTACATATTATTTTTGGTTGACGCCCACTTGAATGTTTCCAGATGCTTCGTATCCGGACACTTCGTTTTATTCGACACCTGCCATTCGGAAACGGCTTATTCTAGGACACTTCTTTACCGTACAATATCTCTTTTCTTCCCAATGTCTTTTTTAGCCTTGGTACGTACTAGATATCTATCTAGTTACATCCTTCGTCCATATTCTTATATGTGTGTATACATGAATATTTGGAATTCTAGGTTTACTCAAAACATAGTGACGAAACATACTCTTCTGACTCCCTCTCATGCTAGCTTCCACCGTCCCCCATCGATTGACACTCTTAGTTTCAGATACAAGCTCTGTATCCAGTAAAATCTCAAACGTTGATATACATAGACATATATATACCGAATACCATGTAGAAAAATGGTCTGTAAAACACCGTATTCTGTTTGCCATTTTTTAACATACTTAGTATAGAGAAGAAAACCTCGTTAACTGTTTATTTAAAGATAGTGTGAATAAGAAATTCTTCCATTTATCCTTCTATTCTATCCAATCGTTCGTAAGATCTCTTTCCGAGCTAGAAAATATTGTGTTTTCTGAAAAATTAGAAACCCTTATATTTCTGTTGAAAAAAGCAAGAAAGAAATATACAACGTAAAATGGGCAGGTTAAATCGAACATCTTACGTATAACATATAAAAGCAATCAGCTCTTATTAGCCTATCTTTTCGTTTTAGCTGCACGACCATAAACAGCAGACTCATGCCTAAAACGCTTACCTTGGCCCGAAGAGAAAGCCAGGGTAGTCGAACAAAGTGCTTGAAGAACTTGTGCATTAACGCTAACCTTACTCAATAACTTATATTTGGAAAAAATGTTGTTGTTCACACCTTAATTGCCATCTAAATAAGTCAAAAACCACAAAAAAATAAACTGAACTCAATTTCCACAGTTCCGTGGAAAATTACAGAATTCAGAGTAGCGCTACTCACTCTCATGCAACCCCCCCTATCCCTCCTTCTACACAATTCCAGTTCTCTTCCTACCAGAATTTGGTAGAACTACAGCAGAGTTGAACCAGAATCTAGCAATTCTTACAGAGGATCGCAAGTGCGAGATTAGTGTGCACTATTATAACTTTCTACAGATCCTCTCTATGAATTGGCAGATTCTGGTTCAATTCTGCTGTAATTCTGCCAGAATGTGATCTACTTCTGATTAAATTCTGGTAGAATTCAAGTCTGATTCTCTAAGTTCTACCAGAGTCTAACCAGAATTGAACCAGAATCTGCCAGTTCTTAGAGAGTATCTAAGTGTGGAAAGATAGAGAGTACTTCAGGCTTCAAAATGAGCTAGCTATACATAAGTCTTTCAAAAATACGCCCAGGTGGGTCAAGAGTCGAAATATTTGCCGGTATAATGATTTTCGCCTATCTTAGTGCGGGTGGCAGGACAGTGAATGAAGGACGGCGCTTTAAATATGGGATGACCCGGAGTGGCTTTCATACAAGAAAATGCAGGAAATAACAGCTTCAAACTGAAATACATATTCAAGTATACTAGCTTCTATCAGTAGTTTTGGGTTAATAGTTTAGTTAGAGAGAGTACCATTTCTGAGGAAAATAAGACGTCTTTGAGGTCTCCACAACACTTTTTCATCCATTTCATTATATTATTTAAAGAAAAAGCCTTTTCTCTCACTCGTTCTTCTTTTTCGTCCAACTTTCCCATAAAACTTTATATTGATAGAAAATTTCATGCTTTCTCTGTAAGTCTTGCTGTAATTTACAATAGATACATATACCATTTTCAATTGTATCTATATGTGTGGCAAACTGAATATTATTGATTTTAGTCAGTAGAGCAGTATCTTCAATTAATATTGGTAAAATTTCAAATTCACATCCTTCACAATTCATTGTCAATAAATCAATTTTTTCAAATCGAATCAAAATTTCTTGTAAAACATCAATAATACTATGAATATATATCGTTGTCATCGTTTCATCAACACTTTTATCAGAATCTTTTTCTTTGGTAAACATGCTGGTTGCCTCATTATTTGTACCAGATGTTCTAATTTTTAATTGGCGCTTCGATGAACCTACAATGCAATAAAAAGTGATATTACATGAACATTTATTATCTAATTAACTATCATAAATTCAAATCTGTCTGACATTTATTCTTAAATGAGTGAGCAATACAGTTTCTTCGACCGTTCTTCATATATTCTACTCATTTCTTCGTCTACTTTGTAGATTAAAATATTAAAATTATCAACAAGTTAAAAACGGAAAATGTAAACATCGTGGACTGGTTTGGAGGATGCTCTACATTAAATTCACGTAGAGCAGAGATTTTTGTGACGTTTTATAATTTTCCGTTGTAACGTCAAACGAGATTTCTTTTTCCTTTCTCTAACTTTATCTAACGGGTGGCGCATAATAAACACGACACTTTTGTTCTGTATTTTTAAGGCACTCCAAAATCATCTAAAAATCTGGCTCTAGTCTCATGCGATAGAAAATTGAATTGTCTACAAAACCTGCTTTTTGAATCTCTGATAGCATTTTTCTTGTTTGAGCACCACTCAAAATATTGAATGATGCTAAATGATCAGACTGCGACGTGCTTTTGTTATATGCTTTTTTCAGATTTTTGGCCCATTGTCTGAGGTTCAATAGTTGCTTTTGTAGGTAGAAAAATAGAGAATTTTGTGCTCTATTGGTCTCACTCATTTATAACTTCATATAATGTTTTCGCTACGTCAGCTGGACTCCTAAATAGTTGTCAACCGGCTTTTCACGCTTTTTCAAATCAAATTAATTTTATAATTAATGGTTTCAATTGAGAAACTTTGTTTATTTATCAAAAGATGCAGAAATTAATTCTGTGTACGATAACAAGGCTAAAATCCTGGATTCATAACGTTTTACTGCTTTTATAAGCAAAAAATAAAAATCTGTGAAAAATAGATTCAAAAGTTAGATTTTACCTTATTTATCACATTTTTGCAAAGAGAAATTTTCGTAGAAAACTTAACTGTAGAATTTCGAAGAATGTGTAAGAAGATGCAGCATTTTCCGGTGAATCTTCCGATCTTTTCAAAATTCTTATGAAATCTGTTCTGGGATCAAGGCAAATATTTTTCTGTTTTCGATATGTCGCAGTTCGAGAATTTAGCACTATTCAATATTTTGAGTGGTGCTCAAACAAGAAAAATGCTATCAGAGATTCAAAAAGCAGGTTCTGTAGACAATTCAATTCTCTATCGAATGAGACTAGAACCAGATTTTTAGATCATTCAGAAGTGCCTTAAAAATAAAGTACAAAAATGTCCCGTTTATTATGCGCCACCCGTTATATAGTATATAGAGGTCCATAGCATAAAATACTGCTGTATATAGTATATACAGCAGTATTTTATTTAGACGAAAGGAGAATGAATAACGAAATTTTCAATTCATTCATTTTATCCGTCTGCTTCGTTTCTGTCTGTGTATGCGAATGATAGTGGTTTCTTATGAACACCATCTCAACTGTTGGCTGAATGAGTGAAAATCCACTTCAGCAAATTTTTTCCTACGCTACCTCATAGCAACGCATCTTAAATGTGTCTCCTACATCGGATAGAAGGGTTCAACGCAGTGCTGGAAAATATTTGAATTCCCAGACAGGTTGTTTCTAACGGCTTTCACCTTTATTTTAGAGCACCATATTTTCGGTGTTTTAAAAATCTCATATGGGTGGTATATTATTCAAGGTTTAAATGTCCACAGAGAGTAACTCTTTTCGAAAGCTATCATAAATCTTCGTTTCAGCCGAACTGAACACGAATTCTGACAGGCGAGGTCCTAAATCTAAGTTTTGGATTCCGTCTGTGTATTCCTCATACCTAATCCATATGGATAAATTTCAGTTCTCGATTGATTTCCAAATTTTCCTTTCAATATTTTATACATTGATATTAAAGGTTCATAAATAATTAAAGAAGAATTATAAAGATGAAGATATTGAGCACTGTCCTGTCCAACATTTCCACCAATTTCGACAATTAAACTAGATGAATT